AATATTTGGGGGTGCTTAACTTTTTTCCAGGTGTATAGATAAAACAAACTATGATGTAGTTTTAAGCATTCTTTGAAAGTTGGCTGTTTTTAAAAGTGGAGCTGTGAATATTATTTCAAGGGGTGAAAAAAGAGTAAGAGAGGGTTATTAAGTGTTAAGTGAAGACCAGTTTTTATGCAACATGCTGAGAGGTTAATTATTTGGTGTTCCTATCATGTTTTATGTGATTAAATCTACAAAATATATGTTTCATTAAGGATTCACTAACACTGTAGTGATTAGAAGTCATTGCTCAGGATGTAATGATATTAAATCTACAGAATTTATGTATCATTAAGGATTCACTAACACTGTAGTAGTTAGACGTCATTGCTCAGGATGTAATGGTATTAAATCTGCATAATATATGTATCATTAAGGATTCACTAACACTGTAGCAGTTAGAAGTCATTGCTCAGGATGTAATGGTATTAAATCTGTATAATATATGTATCATTAAGGATTCACTAACACTGTAGCAGTTAGAAGTCATTGCTCAGGATGTAATGGTATTAAATCTGCATAAAATATGTATCATTAAGGATTCACTAACACTGTAGTGATTAAAAGTCATTGCTTAGGATGTAATGGTATTAAATCTACAGAATCTATGTATCATTAAGGATTCACTAACACTGTAGTGATTACAAGTTGTTGCTCAGGATGTAATGGTATTAAATCTACAGAATCTATGTATCATTAAGGATTCACTAACACTGTAGTGATTACAAGTTGTTGCTCAGGGTATATTTACATCTGTAAAAATTCTGTAGGATTTACAAGTGCCCTACATATACACATTTCAAATATGAAAACTTTTAATAAGAGGATGAGGTAAAAAAACTTAGTCTATATACTGTGAGGTTTTTTACCACTTGTGATTTCTGTCAACCTCAGTACACTTCTGTAAGGACTGAAATAGTCAATTATAACTGAAAGTGATATATATATGATAGACTTGACATGATCTTACAGCCCAACATCCAGCAACATTTGCTCTGTAGAGCACAATGCTCAGTGTAACAATCCCACTTAGCCAATCCACTGGTTCAGTATGGTAAATCCAATGTGCTTATACTTTACTGGGAGAAATTTGTTAATAAAATCATCAATTTCCAACTCTACGAAGATAAGTTCTCCAGTATGTGCAGGTAAGCAAGTCTATTCACTTTTCTCTCAAAGAAAGTGTGACCTTAGATCTCTCATAATATAGTAACACACCAAATACTGGTTTTTGGCAAGTCTCACATACATCTGTTGACAGTTCGACATCTGGTACTCATCTTAAGGCTAGTGTCATAAACCTCTTAAAGTAGCTGTTGCTATCACAATTTCACATGCATAAGAGTTCAGGTGTGTTTTTTAATATCTCAAACATTGTGGTCCTTGATATGTCAAGTTCAGCAGAAGCCCTCCTTAAAGATTTTCTTAGGCTATGTTAAAAGGCGTGAGTTACTGAGGTGTCATTGTCTTTTCTTATGCTGATTTTCCCAATATTCCTCTTACACCGTACACATTTTCTCAGAATTGATGTTGTGTGAGAAAACCAGACTTAAATTCCATCCATCACAAAATGTTTTTTGTTGAACAGTTACCATTTTTTTCACTATCTGTTAAAATGTCAAATCTTGGTTTATGGGGATAACTTAAAACCTTAGGATACATAGACTACTGCACTTTACTGCTTGTCTTCATCTTTTTTTAGTTTAAACATTATGATATAACACTCGTTCAATGATTTGTAGACACCCTGTGTGCGAGTATGTATTCTGAAGTTTATACCATATGCCAGTACATGTATCGTCCTGTCATACCAACATGATTCACGAGTTAAACTGTTTCATGGATTTCCTCAACTTTTCCATGTAAGATAAACTGGTTGAAACTTCACGTGATAATGTAAGTTCAGTGCTGGTAGAACCCACTTAGTATACTCCAACCAATCTTCAATTATCATTAGTTTGTTTCCTAAAGCTGAAAATTGGGGGTTGGGATATGGCAAAAGTCAGATTACAATTTTATATATTAAGGATAGAAGCTTTCTGAGAAAAATCACAGTTTTTTGTTCACTCTGCTTTTACTGTCAGTAACAATAGTGTCAAATAAAGATAACCAAAAAACATTTTTGTAAATGTTGTAATTTTTTTAAATATATATATATTTTTTTCAAATTGGCTTAATTAACCCTGTACAAGTTTAAATAAGTGCTGCCCTAGCACCTTTCACACTGAGTGTAGTTTCATGAAGCAAGTAAACAAGGATGTTTTCTAGCACACTTCACACTGAGTGTAGTTTCATGAATCAAGTAGACAAGGATGCTCTCTAGCACACTTCACACTGAGTGTAGTTTCATGAAGCAAGTAAACAAGGATGCTCTCTAGCACCCTTCACACAGAGTGTAGTTTCATGAAGCAAGTAGACAAGGGTGGTCTCTAGCACCCTTCACACTGAGTGTAGTTTCATGAAGCAAGTAGACAAGGGTGGTCTCTAGCACCCTTCAAAGTGATTGTAGTTTCATGAAGCAAGTAGACAAGGGTGGTCTCTAACACCTTTCACACTGAGTATAGTTTCATAGCTCATAAACAAGGATGCTCTCTAGCACCCTTCACACTGAGTGTAGTTTCATGAAGCAAGTAGACAAGGGTGGTCTCTAACACCTTTCACACTGAGTATAGTTTCATAAGTGTAATGCTCAAAATGACAAGCAAAAT